GGCCGCGGATGACGCATTAATCGCGCGACACAACTAATCGATGATAAAATTCGTTGCCAAAGCTTTTAAAAATCGAATTGTATCGATTCGTTGTTACAGCCCTAATTTACTTAGTCATAGCTTAGATCCCTGTCATGGCTGCCTTAAGTAGTTAGTCATTTGGAAATAATCCTTTTAACTTTAAAAAAAGAGCGAACTTAATATCTTAACTTGCAAATTTGCTAAATTCTAAACATTTCCTGCCAGAATTTGAACCTGGCAGGTTAAAATTCGGAATTTGGCGGGAAATTCTAAACCTTTCCTGCCAAATTCTAGCAGAGACAAACAACCATTCACACTCTCACACCTAAGGACAATTTAGAGAAGCCAATTAACCTAACAGTCATGTTTTTGGACTGTGGGAGGAAGCTAGAGTACCCGGAGAGAACCCACGCATGCTCAGGGAGAACTACATGCAGAAAGACCCCGGGCTAGGAATCAAACCCGGAGCCTTCTTGCTGCAAGGCGGCAGTGCTACCCACTCCGTCACTGAGCAGCCACAACTATTTCATGAAAATGTTACTTTGTGCATAATCTGGACTAGCATGCTGTTACCTACTCCATATCTGCGTCTGCATCAAGACACTATATAAAAAAAATGCTAGATGACTCTGCAAAACTGAAGCAGCTCAAATACAGCAAACATCCTCTGAGATCTGGAACTGAGTCAAAAATGAGGATGAGGAGGATCCATAAAAATGTCAGTCATGAGCTGCAGAGGATGTCGACCTAAAATATCATTAGTGTAAAGGCAGCAGAATTATAAAGTAAATTTAAGTCCATCTGACAGCTCATACAGTAGCTTGTACAGGAACTGGCAATATTCCAACCTCTGCATAGAACCCAAAAAAAGGACTTAATTAACTTAATTTTTTGAAATTACATTTTGCTAAAGATTATGGAAAACCTAAGGCTGCAAACAGATTTAGTTAGTTTCAAAACCTATCAAATTTTCTGTCACGGTTTCAGTGATTTAAATGTTTTACTGTGTGATGCCAGAGAAATTGATGAAAAAAACACCTTTTTAAAAAAGTTTTATGTTATGCAAATTACACAGTGCTAATAGCCTAGACATCCACCTCAGAAACGCCAGGCAAAGTCAAAGAATGATTCATGGAAAGACTTTTCACCAAGGTTTTGAAACTACACTGAAATATGGTTTCTTAAAAAATAAATAAAAGAATTAATAATAATAAAAAAAGAAAAGAACCTTACGTTTTGGCCATCTCTGCCCTTCCCAGGTGGTCCAGGAGGTCCAATCAAACCAGGCTCTCCAGGTGGGCCTTGGGGGCCAGATTGTCCTGGTTTACCTGGTTCACCCTAAAATAAAAAATGGGATAAAAATAAGAACCATCACTGCTGTCTTTAACTGCATTGTTTGCACTTTTTTACAACAAATTCCTTTAAATCAGAATTAAAACATTCATAGATGACATATATCGCACCAGATAGTTGTTTAAGATGTAGGTTTAAATGTCACACTAGAAGCTGGAGGCAAAATTACGGCATTTAAAAACAAAAAGAGTGACTAAACTCTGGATATCCTGAAAAACATCCTTTACTGCTGCATCTGTATTTAAACAAATTCAGAGACTGGAAGAGAGAAGACAAGTGAGGACACCGACTGCTCTGAGAAAGCCCACGGTATAATGGTTTGCTAAAAACACATCCAACCCAACAAAAGTACAACTTTAAAGGTCACAGCTAAGACTTCTTCATCATAAATATTTTCCTAAAAATAACACATCCACAGAACATCAGGGGTGTAATAGAAAAATGTATACATTTTAATGACAAACATATTGAAAATAAAGTGTTAAGTTTATCATTTCTAAATCACTGATACACTGAGCCAATCACAGCAGACCTGTGAGATCAGAAAGACTAAAAACAATCACAAATAGAGCATGGAGCTGTGCTGGATTGTTTGTTTGTGCTCCTGCAGCAGCCTACGATGTGCTATCTATGGAAAAATTGCAACAATTGTTTCAAAGGACACTGATGTTTGATTGGACAAATATAATCAAAATACAAGTCTTACATTTGTCACAGACTTTATTATTAAACTGCAGAATGTTTATTGAATAAAGCTGGCTTGCACATGTCCAGCATCAAGCAGGCTGACACATTTGTGATGGCGCTCATAAAGATTAGATGCTAGGAGGGTCCAAAAGGAAATTTTGAGAAAATGCATATATATAGGCTTGTTTTTAAAATTTTCATAGTTTGGGCCGGATCTATCAAAGGTTTGCGTGTATA